TTAACTGCTTCCTGATATAATTATTCTGAAAATCGTAAAATAATTTAATAATGAGAAATATATCATATTTGTTTTTACGTGTACACATATTATTGCATTGCACAATTAGATGATTCTTAAGATTATCAAACAGGAAGCTGCGATRGCGGTCAGATAAAATGTTTTATATGAAGAAAAACTTTGTTCAACGTCCACAGAAGTAATAGGGGCATAGGTATTTGAAATAAACCATATCATTTAAAGTTAGGTCTTCCGAAATACCATCTCTACTTGTTGTATTTTCACCGTCCAGAATAGCAGATATATTTTTTTAAACTTTGAACCCATTATTTTTAAACATTTTTCAGTTTGTTTGATATTGTTTCTCCGATTACGTTAGGAGCAAGGGATAATGTAGTCTCAATTTGTTTTATTTTATTAATAAATTCTGATAATAAGATTCTGTTATWTAGTTTTGGGTTCGATCGATATTTAATATTATGTTACTTAGGTACTCTTATATTAATTTTTCAATATCAATGGACTGGAGTAGGTATTGCCTATAGGTACTAATTAGGATGACCTTTACAACACATATTAAAAAAGCTTAAAATAAATAAAAAATTAGTTAAAATACACAAAATGAACGTAATATTACGTAAAAATGCAATAAATTGCATTTATCACAAAAAATACAAAAAAACACAAAATAAAAATTACATATTCCTTCTAAATTGTTATATCACGAAAAAAATTTAGTTTTTGGTTAGAATCTTAGAATTGTATAGCACTTAAARAAAAAAAAATGTAAAAGTCACCAAAATCCTAGCTCTAATAATGACAATATTTGATAGTATAGATGGTAGACTACAGGCATTCTTAACATTTATATTAGTATATAGTATAWTACTTACTACATCATATTTTTAAAACTACATTAATAGACTGCAGTGGATAGACAGCAGGAGCACAACGTGGTGATTCTGGTTGAATTTGGCATCGCATTGATGGCCATTTTAGAACAAATAAATCGAGAGTCTTTTCAGCGGTTTAAACTGAGGATAGGATTAAACCATGGTCCAGTCATCGCTGGTGTGGTGGGTGCACAAAAACCACAGTATGACATCTGGGGCAATACCGTGAACGTTGCTTCTCGGATGGACAGTTGYGGGATTATGGGCAAAATTCAGGTATGCAAATTATTACAGTATAGTTATTCGTCAATGCCATTTCTGCATATAAATTTTAAAAGACACAAATCTAACAACTTATTACGTGGTTTTCTTATTTAGGTC